CTGGAGTGGCTCTGCCAACGGCATACTCAGTAATCTCTGCCTAACCCGAGGGTTTTGCTGTCATTAAGGCAGCTAAGGGCTGACATTTTCGCTTCTGAACCCCTTTTCCAGAGTGCCAGCAGCACAACCTGCCTGCAGGGGTGTTACCTCGTGCGAGCGTGCGCTCGGTGCATCCCCGAGACTGGTCCGAACGGCCCCGCGGTAACGCTGCAGCCCGGCAGTTCGGGGTTTTGTGTGTAAGAACATTCAACGCTACATGGTTCACCCATCTTTCACTGCAGAAATCAGACCAAGGGTTCTGGCTGGATTAGTCTTTTTTGAAAGTTAGTATTATTTTAATGCAGATTGTTGTGCTTGGGTACATAATTAGAGCTTTTTAAAGCTTGATTATTTTTTGGTGGTGGTTTTGGGGTTTTTTTTGGACATGGCTAAGGGCTAAAGAGGTGGCAAAGTAGAAAAAGAACAGCCCAGCTGTTTACATTTTATCCTATGCTTATATGCTCTCTTAAAGAGGTGAATAAAATATAAAACACTGGAACTTCAACTTTTCAAAAACTTGCGGTGAATAAATTCACTATTTTGTGAGACAATATTAGCAAAAATGTGCACAAGTGCAAGTTGGTTCAGAGGCTGTTTTTTCCTAATTCCTTTCTACCAAAAAAAAAGTTAATCTACTCCCACTCTGCAAGCAGGCAATACCCAAACAAGGAACAGTAAATAATGAAAATCCACAGAGTGCAGGCAGGCCACTTCTACGTGGAGGGGTGTCCGACACGCCTGGAATTGCCTGGTCTGGGGTGGATGCACAAAGTTCTGCTTTTGTTCTTCCTTCGCTCTCCCCCTGTGCCAGGGGCAGGAAGCAGCAGCTGGCTGGTGCCAGGCTGCCCACCAGGGCTAACCCGCGACAGCAGGTGTGGCAGCGGGGAATTCCAAAAGAACAGTGCAAATCCTCTTTCCTGCTGGGCAGATTGAGAGAGCTCAGGGAACACAGGTGGATTTTCACAGGAAAATATTGGGAGTTACAACTTCAGGAGCCAAGTGGAGCCTTGTGTTTGTTTTGAGCAGATGACTCTCTGGCTATTCCTCACCAATATCATTTTTAGTTTCTTAGTTTAAAAAATTGCATGATCATAATTACCATCTGTCTATCATGAAAGAGGAAAAAAAAAACAAAAAAACCCCAACTAAGGCATTTTAAGTGGTGGGCAAGCAGCAGCAATATGGACTCCACATAAAATGCTAAACTTCCTACTGGAAATAAAGAAGTGTACAAACCTGACTTTTCCAGAACTCCCAAACAAGTGTTGTGGTAGCAATATCGAAGCAACATGAAGTTCTGAAATTAGTATTTGCAAGACTTGAAGTTCTAACAATGTGCAGCTACCTCCTGTTAAGATTACATTCAGGGCAAATGCACTTTGTACTTTGATTTATTATTACTATTAATTTCAGTTAGCTGAGAAAAACCACATGAAAGGATTCTGCATATAAAGGAATTGGGGTCTCCATTCAAATTTTTATTTCTGTGCAGCTACTGTGAATAAATCAAACTATGGCATGAGCTCAAATAACTCTTAAGAGAACTGAGATAAACACAATTGATACAGGATGGTATTTGCTGCCAAATCTAGAGCAAGAAAGGGTTCTTGAAGTATTTTTTTGTTGGCATAAAATGATAGTCATTTTGTTCCATATTGGAAGGATGCGCTTCCAATCTGGATACATTACTGGTTCCATATTGTCCTGGTTTAAGCATAGGAACAAAAGTGATTAAATTAAATTTGTTCCAGCTGGCTTAGCTGAATAAAAAGCTGTTTACGAAACTTGGATTCCTCGGTAGTAAGTCTGTGATGATCAGCAATGTTTATAATCCACTTAGCTTTGTAAAGTACAGCTAGGGACAGTGTAAGATTTTAAAGTTAATAACTTAAGGAATATCCCATGGTAAACTAATTACAAGCTCATAAGCAAAGCAGCCAAGTAAGTTATTCCTTGAATTGTGTGACTTCTAAATCAAGTTTAACATTTCCAGTACTTTACCTAACTGACCTTTAATATGATTGTTTTCTAATGGAGAACTCTCTCATCACAAAACACTAAAATTAAGTCTTGTTCAATGGCAGCTGCAAAAGATGATTTGCCCTTTTGTGGAATTCTACACAATTTATACACAGCCTCACTGACCTTTTTGTAGCATAACCAATATGTGACTCCTCTGACATTTAAAAATGAAGGTAGCAACAACACCACCAACCGTCTAAACCGTACGTCCTACAGAAAGCTCTTTATCATGTTAAATGTTAAGCAAAAATTAAGTCAGGAGTTGCAAATATATATGAATATTAAGAGTAACTGTATTGCAGTACCCAAGTACGGAATTTAATCCTTTGCTCTTTGGCATCAATACTTAGAAAATGTTTTAAATTTGAAAAACAGCTATTGGATGTGGTCCATAAAAGGAAGTTTCAACTACACTGCTTCCTCTCCAAGTGCAGGGCACATCCTCTGCATTGGGAGGAGGAGGAAGAGAAGCAGCTTTGCCCACCACCACAAATTGAGAAGGTTCAAGTAAGCGACTCATGAGAAAAAGGATGTCAAGAAAGAATTTTTGAAGTATTCATGACTTGTGGAAACACCCAGTTTCTCCAAATGTACAGCAGTTGGGCTGTTCACAGCCTTTATACATTAAAAAAATCCTTGAATAGGTCGGCTTACATTACTTGCTCTTCCTTCACTGGTAACAGATACATGAAATCCTTGCTGATTTGATTTGTTTGTTACTCTAGAGGCTGTGTGTAAGGCAGGAAAACACATGACCTGCTCTCATTTATTTTCTGAGAATAGTATATACCCCTCATGTACTCCATGAGTGCGTGCAACTTTCTATCGAATCTCAAATAGTAACATAAAGTAAAGAATAGACCTATGGCTTGCGTACAACTTTGGAAAAAAAACCGGAAGACAGAAAAAAAACTTTTAAACTTTAGGCAGTTAAAAAAAAATTAAAAGAACCCGTATCAACTCACGATCATCTTGTAAGGATACAAAGCAAAAACCAGAAAGACAGATATTATATCCAATTTACGTTGAGAGATTTATTGCAATCTATTTTCACAATTTCATATGAAAACTTTTTAAAAGAACGTTCTTCTCACCTGCTTTTCCACCTTTCATGGCAATTAACAACTGGGTGGTTTCCTTCTGATTTTTAAACTGCAAGCATCCAGTTATTTTAGCTTTGAGCCAATTCTGTACTTCAGAATAGTCAATCTGGCTGACCTAAGTTAAAAATGCTGAATTTGTATTGCGTAATTTTTTACATTGTTTAGAAATGTGATACAATTTAATGTGACACTGGGATACCAACTCAAAGTATCACATTTTCATTAAAAATGTGCACAGTTGCCAATACAAAGTTTTGATCTCTTAAAATAATGTCTTTTAAATATACAGCTAAGGATTAAAAAAAAACTATTGTGGCACTTCAGTACATGAGATTTTTTTTTTTTATTGCATATTATAATGCTCAAATCAATACAGGTTCGTCAGTAGCAGGAGACACGCTTTCAACCGTGTCGTATTTGCAGGGCAAATCATCTCCCTCTTTCACAAGCAGCTCACGTTAGGGTGTCAGGCGTTTGGGGTCCCGTGGGAACATGGAGGTCTGACGAACATTATGCAGCCCAAGGTACAGCATGGTTACTCTTTCCAGCCCTACAACAAATGAAAAAAACACATCTGTGTGGCCAGTCTGTTGTTCCATACTCTTAAGAAGCTCAAGGTACTTTATACCTACAGCCAGCCTCACTTAGCACTTGTGTGACCAAACACCGAGCTGTGTGCATTAGCACGTCCCACTGCAGAAAGGAGCGAGAAGCAAAAACTGGCATTTCCCACACAGTGCCTTCCACCACGATGCAGGCTGCCTTTGGAACAGGAGCAATGGTTCTGCAGGCTCAGCCCTGCTCCGAATCACTTCGGACCTTCAAGAAAGACAGTGTAGGAAACTGAAAGGGGACAGAGGTAATTGGGAGAACTGTATCTTGAATACAGTCACAGAAGTACTGTCCAAACTGGTCTTAACAGCTTCACAGGAAGTGCCATAAGCAACTCAGCAAAAAACTACAGTTGGGGGAGTTCATCCCAAAACTGCTACAGTACAAAAATTTGGATTCTGCAATACATACCCAGCTATCTGTTTGATATCTTGATGGTAATAAGTATTTGATGGGTCATTGTGTTCTTTCTTTCTGAAATCTCTGAGGTTATGTGTGTACTGTGGAACACGGAAGGACTTCCTAATCTGTGGGGCTACATATGCGGCCCAGATGTAGCCTAGTTTTCACACTCTGCCCTCCTATGTTAAGGTTTCCATCTGAAACAGCTGGTACTTGGCCACGAGCAGCATTTACTCTACAGAAGAGAGGTAGCATCACCTTCCATGATGTCAGTTCTGACTGGCCTAAATGATTTTGGATCATATGCAGATGCTGCATCTCCCCTCATGAGCACTGCAGGACCATCGACCCTTACATCTTGCAGGCATTTCAAAAACAGTTGTCTCAATCGCATATGGCAGATCTAATGCACTTACTGACAGCATGCTTAGGAAACTGTTCTGAGAACATACTGAGAATGTACTTTTACAGAAGTAAGGCAAATGCAGAAAGACTGAATCCAAGAAATCGTTGTGTTTACTGATCAGGATGTACAGTGTCCTATTTCCATATGCATGAACAGATCTCACCCTGCTCAGGAAAGTAGTGTGTGTAACTATAAATTGTTGCCATTATGATGCCTAACACCTATCTTTGTTTTCATCTGAATATGTAAAATACACCTAAGCTATGAAGCCTCGGTATCTCTGCTGAAACAATTAGCATCAGCCCAACTGATTAGTTGCATTCAGACACATCACTGAATAAGACAGAAGCAAGCACCGATTTCTCCTCAGTGTAGAACAGCTTTTTCAAATGCTCTAAGAGACCAGCAGCTTCTGATATTAGTAGGTGATGATAAATCCCTTAAATTCTCCTCCGTGGTCAAATCTGAAAGTGATGTGCTTGACAAATAAATTGACATTTTTTTCTTGTGATCACCTGCTTTTTAAACTTGTCAGACTGGGCCATTAATATTTTGCCTATTTATTTTATGATGATCCTTACATTTTAGCTTCTCTTCTTACATCTTCCAGGCTAAACAGCTCCACATCTAACACAGCTACTCTTCTGAATTTTATACCAAACCCTACTTGAGATTGAGTGGTTTAAATTAATCTCAGGCTAACAAAGAAAAAAAATAAAATATAGAATCTTACCTATTCCACCACCTGCGTGTGGAGGTGCACCAAAACGAAAGGAATCAATGTAAGCCTTTATTTTCTCCAGATCTAGAAAGGAAAAAGATATGTTTCTCACCTGCTTAATGAACCCCAAGCCAAACACACAAGTAACTAGAGGGCTGCAAATACAATAAAAAATTACCAATTTAACTTATAAAGTAACAGTGGTGTTTTACTCATTACATATATAAATTACCCAGGACTATCTAAAAATTATGACTACATTGGTTTTGGTTTATAATTTTGTTAATAACTTAATAAGGGAAGAAATTCTAAAACTAAGTAAGATCTAGATCACAACTGTTCATTGTAATTTACATAAAGTGGTGACTTCTTGAATAAACTGCACTGAGAAAGCAAAGATTTAGCAAGTATTTTTCCATCTTGCTACAGCAGGACCTACTCCTTTTTTGCTACTCCCTACTTGCCACTTGGCTTTGCCAGTGACTGAAAGCATAATTTTAATCTACATTTTGCTCTCATGATCTCCACCTAATTTACTCTATTAAACCTGCTCCTATTAGCTGGCCTTGTCCCTGCTGAGTTTCGTGTTTGTGTTTTTAATTTCACCACTGGACACTTCTTCCTTATTTGCTCTCAGTTCAAGATTTTAAAAGGACAGCCAGCCAAGACTTTGCTGAAGTACTCTGTAAAAAGGTTGTCAGAGTAGAGAGAGGCATGACTGAATGAGATTTGTTTGCCCACCCTCATTCTGTTGAAGGTATTTCCTGCATTACATTCTCTCTAAAGTCCTCAGAAACAATTCCTTTTCACCAAGGTGTTGCTGGGAAACTAACTAGTTTCTTAGTACCAACACTCTAGATTAAAATGCTTAAACAGAATTTGATGGATTAACATTAAGAAAGAAACAGTACTGTGATTTTAGCACTACTGTCATATAACAAATTCTGCCTCCAATTTTTCCTCTAAGGGAAACAAATCATGATTTATATTCTCTTAAATTCAGCTTCATGTTGACTTGTTACCGATGCCGTGATGCTGGGCTCTTTCTGTCAGCAGCTGAGGATCATGAATTCTCTGAGCTCCAGACAAGATCTCTTCTCCTCTCATGAACATATCGTAAGAGTTAGAGTTTTTCTGGAAAAACAAAGATGAGTTTATTTCCTACCTACAGTTGCTCCATCACTGGGTGGCAAATATGCACCCTCTCAATAGCTTCACTTACAACAGCCGAAGTTGTGCAGCAACAGTGCAATGTATTTGGGGTCTGCCTGGGAATTACAGCCCTTGGGCTCCTCTCACTGAACACAAGTGGATTTTAAAAACTAAGTTCATCCCCATGCCCTTTGAAAAAACATTACACTTGCATTTAGTTATCCCAGCAAAAGATGCTCTAAAGACATTTACTCTGGAATAAATTGAGGAATTTCTAACAATGTGAAAAAGTGTATTTTCAGTTAAAGTGTCTGTTGCCCCGGAGGAAGGTTTTGGCCTCTTTTCAGTGATGGCAGCAGTGCTCTGACCATGGAGATCTCTTCATAAAGCTCTCCCAGATGTAGCTAGGTTTCTTTCTGGTGTATTTTAACCAGTGAAGAATAACTGTAAACCTTTTAAAAGTCATGTAACACAGATGTAGTTTAAGTCATCAGAATTTTAATTATAACACAAGATCATAAAAATATGCTTTATCAATTTTGTCAAGTTATCGCTACATGGAATAATTTTAAATATTTAAAAATCCCCACTGACAACAACAAAGAATTTTACTTACAGGGTTTACTGGGTCTGGCATTGTATAGAAAGGCCTCACAGCAAGAGGATATTTGTCAAGAATATAGAAGTCTGTGTCATACTAAAAGAAGGTAATTTAAAACAATTAGTACAAGAGAAAATGACGTAAAGAACAAATTTCAAGAGAAAGATATAACCCATGAAGCTCTGACAGAACCCGTGAAAAGATCTCCCAATAACTTTTCACAGATTTGACAGTATTATCTTAAAAAATAAGTTACCAATAGAAGTGGTGTATTATTTCTCAGTTTTCTAACACTAATTCTATTGTAAACATACAAATGTTTAACAATAAAATGTCTAGTTGCAGTAACAGCTGCGCTTTTTTTGCCGAATACATCGTCTTCGGCTTCTTTTTTTTTGCCAAATACCTATTCTTATGCTGTAGATTTAGTTAGAATCTGGTTTGTTGTTTTTTTAAAAAATTATCGTAAGAACTGTTTTTGGAATGTACTATCCTGTGTGGTGTGTGTAGTGTAAAAAATGACAGAAATAAATATAAAAATTTGAAAGTCTTTTGAAGTGTCTTTATAATGATAAAGACAAAAGTGTCAGTAGATGAAATATGTAGCAGCAAAATGAGAACGCAGTCCAGACAAATCAGAATGCTTAAGCTGATCACAACTCCTGCATGTTCTGGAATACTGTATTCCCAATCAGTGTGTAAAAAATTGTTTTACATGAAGTAGGCACTTATACCAACCTAAAGACTCCATAACATCAGATTCAATGACAGATTTATTTTTTCTAAAATAATTGTTACCTTTTCCTTTACCAGGCGTCCCAGGAGCTTTTCATTAGGTGTGCTGAAAAAGATTATCGCGATTAAAATCAAGTGATTTAAACTTGTACTGATTATATACTTCATAAAACTAAAAAGATTTCAAGCTACAGATCTGCTACACCTCATCCTTTGGAAAATGTAGTGCTTGTTTCCGAACGTTTTGGATTGCGCAGACAGAAATTTCAGAAATGAAGTATAGTTATTTCCATTCCTAAACTTTTTGTATTGGTCCTAGAAATCCCTTAAATCATATAGATAATAAAGATATCCTTGCTCTTAATGTAACTACTTCTGAATCACCACATTCTCATTACTCAAGAATTGTGTACTCTGTTGCCTATTGGAATACTCTGTGCATTCGAACACACCTTGTTGCAGCCATTTCTTCTCAGGCAAAATAAATGAGAAACACCACAAGCACTTGCTGAGGAAATTACTCCATCAAACGCTTATGATTGAAACATCTTTGACACACAGATCATTTAACTGTAAAATCACACATTATCCCAATTGTACTGGATATATTATGGGAAAGAACAAAAATGTTTTAATTTATCAAGTGTCTTTAGGAAAGCTTATATATAATTGGTTAATTAAACCCATCCTTCGCTAAATCAATGAGAATGCGATCATGATTTCTTAATCCTTTTCCTGAGAGGTGGAAAGAAGAAATGGGAAAGTGTTATTGATAAGAAAGATCTTAAGACTGAAATGCTTTTTGTTTCGCCCTATTCAAAGACGTGTGACAATTCTCATGACAGACTGCAATTATTGGGAAAAAAATGCTTCTTATAAGGTTCAAGTTACTCTCCATTTATGCTAAAGGTTATTTTCTTTTGGATTTCAGAGTTCGTACGTTAAAAGAAAGGGCTATTTTCACATCCATTCATTTATTTGTCAAGAGATCTGGGTAGGAGTACTGTTTATTCCTCTAAAAGCTCGTGGTTCTTTCTTGAAGCCTGTCAGTTGCACAGTACAAACCTGACACTTCACTACCACTTTCACAAGACTGAAACATTTCTGTACTGCCAAAGTACCTCAGATCTTCTTCATCACCCATCTCAACACCAGCCTCTCTAAGCATGGCCACAGCTTCACGGTATTCCAGCCTCAGAGTTGGTTCCAAAAACTTAAATGGCTCACATGGGAACTGTTTGTTCACCGTCTGAATTTCAGTTTGGAATCTATATACAAGGAAACAAGAGCAGAAGCAAAATATAGAACAATCAAGAAATGCGTTCTTCTTATAGCCAATAATGACTTTGCAAGGGCAATACAATTTTGCCACAAGAGGTCCCTCTTGCAACATAAAAAACTGTTATAAAGCCAGTTCTGTAGAACTTCTGTACAATCCTAATGAAATGTTTCATGCAAGTTAATGCATATAGTTCCATGACACACTTTAATATTTTACTATCAATTCTGGTTTATTCCTTTTGTAAGAAATAATTGACTAGGTCAAATTTTCACAGTAAAGATATGAGAAATCATCCCTTTGGTTTGTAATGTTTAAAACCTCGTTTCTTTGATTTGACTAACATCCTATTTCAAATATAAAAGAGAAATTTCCTTCCAGACAGATGAAAAGATTTGCTTCTCTGCTGGTAAGATAGTCTAATCTGTAAGCAAATGAAAAACCACTTCCTAACCTTTTGGCCTGGCTTTTTAATGGAAAATAAACTTTGCTGCTTTCATGGCAGAGATGCAGGTTGTTAAAATTAATTTGATTCAAAAAAATTTTCTTAGCTAGTAAATATTAAGCTTAATTTCAAAACAGAACAATCAGTCTACCTGTAGTGGCACAAAAAGAAGGACATTTTAAATTAAAGATGGATCATTTCTGTTAGGAAGTCCATTCACCAGTAAACAAGTTTCTTTACTGCAAGCTAGCATATACTCTAGGAGATGCAACTCAGGCTAAAAAAAAAAAAAAAAGGACAGTTTACTGGCCTGTGGCTTGAGTGAACTTTAAAATGTTTGTTTTGAAGTTCTGTTATAAATCAGATTGCTAGTGGTTACCTGATAAGCTAAGGATAAAATGTCATACCACATTTCATACCACAGTGCAAGAGATCTCAGAAAAAGTTGCTCTTGAAGTGAAAAAGGCTCTCATTACCTTTCCTGAAGTCCCTTGAATATCTGGACCAAGGTATCTGCAATCTCATCTACCACTTCATGATAGTGATAGTTAAAAGCCATTTCAATATCCAGACCAACAAACTCAGTCAGGTGTCTGTGTGTATTGGAGTCCTCAGCTCTAAATACTGTGAAATTAAACAACAGAAATTCTAACTGACCTGAAATTATCATCCCATTTTGAAAAATAACACTTGACAATCAATCACATCAGCATTTGGATCAGGCAGACAATGCTGTCTTTAAACAAAACAGTTTTCACTGAAAAATAAGGAGAAAACTAGCTGCTTCACAGCATCATTTCGGCAGTGACAGCATTATTGTAGCTGTGGTGCTCAAAGGATACAAGACAGACAAGACTTGCAGAGAGGCAGAATCTCTTGTTAGACCAACAGACAGAAGTGGAAAAAAACAGACAAGCTTTCAGATTTGAAAATTGCCTTTTTCTGAGGAAATGGACTTGTGCATGTGTGTGCATTCTGGGTTTTGGGTTGTTTTTTTTTTAGACATGTGAATGTCTTCCTATAAAAAAACATGACTCATTTGTTGGTAATTAATGAGAAACGTAAGTTCTTCTGAATTACTCGCACCTTTTTTTTTTTATAAGCTGTTACTGACTTGTTTTCCAGCATTTCCAGCTTATGTATCTTTAAACTGGTCTTTGAGGTCTTAGAAAAAAAACCTGCTGTACAAACACCAAAAGAGGCCACACCCTAGCAGCTTTTGATAAAGAAAGCATGAGACTGGGAATTATTACTTTTTTTACTATTTATTGACAGCCTAGTTAAAAGTGCGTGTTTTCTAAGTAACATTGGTTTGTATACAAAAGCAAGGGATAAATATGCATTAATGTGCAATCTGAAGTACATAAAACCTAGCTTGCTTATTTTAACTGCAGTCAGGTAACTACTAGCCATGGTTAATAGGAAACTATGGCTTCAGAAATCACAGTGTTGTTCCATGTTTTATTAACTTCACCATATTATCAATTTCCAATGCAACTCTTTCTCTCACAGAACAGCAGGCACTGGAGAAGAGTACTCTGCCCTTTTTTCAGCATTTTAGCTTTGTTCCAGCAACTTCTCTGTCAACTTGACTCTCGTTACTCACCCAGGCTGAAATTTGTGTTCGCTAAGTGAAACTACGTTAAGTGAAACCATTCAAAGCTTTCAGTGTGCCTGTTATCTTATTTGCACCACAGCTGCTAAAAGCCATCACTGCGCACTTCACACTTCAGATAAACCAACGCTTTTCTTACCTGGCCCGACACAAAACACCTTTTCAAAGTCGGCACATATACACATCTGCTTGTACAGCTGTGGCGACTGAGCCAGGTAGGCACTGGTTTTGAAGTATGACACAGTAAACACATTGGCTCCTCCTTCACTGGCAGCTGAAAAGCAAATGCTTGCAGTAATTATTAAAATAAAAATGTAAAAAAAAAAAATCAGAAGTAGAATGATACACTATTGGTCTTATATTTAGAGATCAGACGAGATTTTTTTCTTAAAAGCATTTGAGAGGAAAAAGATATATTTGCATCCATTAATGCCAAGGGAAGTTTTACAGCTCAGGACTGTCACTCATTGTCTTGCAAATCTGGAAATTTAGTTGGGGTAGTTTAAAACGCTATTATTCTCAGTCATCCTTCCCTTTAGAGGGAGAACAGCAGAGAATGCATGCTTGTACCGCTGCAGCTGCTGGCAGCCCAGCATTTCTGTGTAAACCAATCTTCAGCAGTGACGTAGGCTTCCAGGGGTTAACTGCAGAGGCTGAGATGAAAGCTCATATCCTGTTTTGTCAGGACCATCCTCTCTAACCGAAGGCATAAATATCTCTCTGAGCTGCAACCCGATATACTAGAGGACATCTGCCAAAGGTATAGAGCTTTTTCTCAGACTGAGGCAGTTTTCATAGAAGGTTACCTTGAGAACAGGAACCAAGAACACCCATATTTGAATGCCTTACTGCAAGCTGCCCCCCAAAACTATCAGCTGAGTCACTACCGTTCCATTTCCCAGAGTGTGACAGGAGAGTTATAGCTGCCCAAGTTGTTAACAAAAGCAACTTAAGTGAAAAATCAGTTCTAATGTTAAGTTAACTCTAGGTAAAGTACTAATTATTATTAGCCATTTCACTGAGATTAATGGTCTTTTTCTTTCATTATCACTTCTCTCCCTGAAACGCTTTCAGTGAACACCTACAGTTATTTTTGAATACAGGTAACTCAAATCCCAGAACAGCTATGATACTTAAATTTGAAGACTGCATTGACTTAACTTAGTTATTTTTACAAAATATGATCTCATCCAAACAATAGGATGCTTGCTTGCTTGCTTTCAATGGTACACTGCACAGTAAGAACAGCACACTTCCTCACAGGTCCTACGTAAATAAACTACTTAGGAGTCTTGAGTACTTCATGCTATTTCGACTCTCTCTGTGGGAAAAAAGTTACCTCATCTTAAAGTTCAATGATACCTTCCATGTTGCTTACATGTATTTTGTTAAAAAGTCCTTTTTATCTCAGTCAAGAGCTGTCTTCAAAAACCAGTAAGTGAAAGGTATGCATACAATGAATGTACATAAAATTAGAGAACAAATATTCTGCCCTACGTTTTCCACACTTTATGTCTTTGCAACATAAACAAAATCCTCATAGAACACCAATACAATGGAAGTAAAACATATATCAGTAAATCAAGTAATTTGAATTTTGAAAGCAATACAGCAGCTCTATAACAGAAGCAAAATCTACATTTCCAGACTTTTAGTTGGGCTGACGCTGGTAATCCCACACTTTGGGAAAAATGATCTACCACCTTCTCTTCAGCCATATGCTCATTGCTAAAGAACCAACATATTGTATATAATGGCATCACCTTTTATACCATGATACGTTTATTGTAACTTCTTTATGATGGAAGCTGCTTTTAATCTAAATTAGAGTGGGGTATTTTTGATACTGGGAATGGAACTGGCAGTGATCAACACTGAGAACACTGATTTGAAGAACGATGCATATGATCAGGTAACTGTATCTAAGCAAACTAAAATTTTAAATGCACTGCAGAGCACATAAATCAGGTACATGTAATGTTTGTCTTGTCATTCTTTTAACATTCAAAGTCAGGAGGAAAGTAAAGAACAACAGTGATACCTGCTAGAAGTTTGTTATGTTGCATCTAAATTAGAAACAGAATTTTATCTTCTTTAAACTTATTAAATTTTTGGCAGATAGGTACACTGAGCAACTGTAAAAGAAGCAGACCTGTGGCCACTGGATCATATATACAATACCTGAAATGATTTTGGGAGTCTGAATTTCCACAAATCCCTTCTGAGTAAGAGTTTCTCGGAAAAGCTGACAAATACCAGACTGAAGGAAGAAGATTGCCTGACTAGTGGAGGTCTACAAGGAGAAGATAAAATAATGAATCCTAAGTTAGTTTTTCCTGACTCTTTTTCTGGAAGGATGAATCTCTTCTGTTAGGAACACTTGATTATTGTATTTGCCTAAACAGAGAAAAGTGCAAATCAGTAACTGTTTATTACACAAAAAGAAACAGCAAAGGAAACAAGGTAAACTCATTTCAATTTATGGCATATTCAGTTATAAAAGGGACACTATGATCAATTCTATGCTTAAAGAATCACTGATTTATGAGATGTGCTTCTGCATATGAAGGTTTTATAGTAAGAAATTAAATAAAAAACACTAAACTTATTAAAAAGCTTTCAGCACACTGAACTAGAACAGCTGCAGTAATATACAGTGAATGAAGTGAAGCCCTTAATAGCTTACATAAGGTAGAAATGCTTCTGTCTATTAAAGGCTATCAAACACAATTCTTTTTCATGTAAAAAAACACAGCCACATGTTAGCCATGTACAAACCAAGGTCTAAACTCCCAGCATTTAAAATAGTCCATGTAACATCTGTTCATATTAACTGTCGTTCTGTCTTCTCAATATTTACCCCAAAAACGCAGTTAGCTGAAATGAAAACCAGATTTAGCTGAATTTATCATTTTTTGTTTGTGTATGGGACACAGTTAAGCTACTTATCTGGTTAGTAAACACCTGTTGTAAATATTCCTGTAACATGCTTTACCATGAAGAAAAAAAAAAACAAAAAACACCCTCAGTGAATGTTGAAAACACTGCAGTATGTCAGCACCGAACCCATATCTGATTTTGTGTTTTAAGACCTGACAGCTAGCAACCTAGAAGCGTATATAAAACATAACGAATTCTTGCAAACAACTAAGAGAACAGTTCTTTACGACAATCTGCGTCATAGCGCTGTTTACTTCTCCTTTCTCAAAGGTACCCAACTTTTCAGTTTGGGTACACGCAGCCTTGTAGGCTTTTTCACATGACTCCTACCAAACCACAAAACTAAAAACCCCCAACCAAAACACAGTACAGGCATTCAGTAGATACACTGAAATAAAGCTACATCCATCATCTCTACACAATAAAGGTATTACTTCACTACAAAACTAGGAGAGAAAACTCTAATAATACTGCAGAGATCTGTAGTAATTTGGAGTTATTTATGATTTTAGCTGACCGATAAAGCATCTCAGGAGTGTAAGTGGTTGAGACTGTAAACAGAAGCTAGCTGCTCTCACTGTCTGATAGCATTAACCACAGCCGCTACTGCCACCACTTTCAAAATGAAGGAAATGAGGTTTTGAGCAACAGTTAGAAAAGTACCCTCAAACTTTTTCACTTCTTTTACAGAGGTCTCCCAGAATCAGATATATGATAAAACTTTGCCTGACTTCTGGCCATAATTTGGCAGTGTTACATCAAAGCACGGGGATGATTCAAAGGGATGTCAGGGTTTTTTTTCTTTTTTTCTTAATTATCTCCTACTTAGAAGGTGAAAGACATTTTCCAAGAGATAACTTCAACAGTCGCGTTTACGTTTACCAATGCAGTTTTTGATAAACTAGACAAATTTCTAAAAATGCTGAGACAAAATGCATAAAGTTTATTTAAAGTGGGATAGTAACAATGCCTATTCTACCCTTCTGATGAACCAACATCAGTTTCATACCAGAGCAGGTAAGAATGCAGTCCTAAGTCCTACAGTTCTAGGAGAAGGAAAAGCAGTTGCTAAATCTCATCTGAAAGCAGTTCCTGGGTCTGACCTAAAAGTGTGCACAGAAACGCAGTCAGTCAATAACTCACACAGCTCTCCACTAACAAAAGTTGGGTAGTAACTCCTGGCGCTGGTGAGGATGCAGTGCAAAGACTTTGTCTTCCTAATCCCAAGTATAATGATAAAGTATGCTTAAAAAATAGTATTTATGAAAGCAGCCACATTCACAGATCTGGATACCAGTTTATTTAACTACAGGCCAAGGAAAGGACAAGAAGCAATTCTCCATACCTCAGATCAGATCTGACAAGATCACACTTCTTTCTAGCAAAGGCAGCTGAGTTTCAGTGCCCGTTCATTCCAACTGCCAACAAGGGTAACTGCCCCGAATGTGTGACGCTGCAGCTTCCTTGTAAGAATTAAACAGGCTCATCCAGTAAGAGGACTAGGCAGGCGGTACCAGGGGATTAATACCTGGCTCCGAGACTGGTGTGTCCAGCAGGGGTTTGGGTTTTTTGACAGCAGCTGGATCTACAAGAGGCCAGGTCTGTTGGAAATGAGAGGAAATAGCTTGTCCCACAGAAGGAAAAGGGTTTT